GAACATCAGAATAGCCTCCTGAATGTTAAAGCAATATGACAATGGAACCAATTACCTCAGGAGATCATAGGTTCTCCTATACCAAAGGTCTTTAAGTTGCAGCTGGGTAGCCATCTGTTAGGAATGCTTTGACCTGGGAGAGAACCACTGGCCCCTTCCAATTCTAATATTCTGTAACACTCAGCTCTACCTCTCATTTTCCCATATGCAGGTAAGGCAGTGATTATCCTGAACTAGTACTTGAACTCAGTACTGGGCTAAAACAGGATCAATTCAATCCAAATAAAATGAGGGTCTGTAAGTAGGTGGTTCATCTGTCTTAAAAAGTGGCATTAGGTCTGCTCTATACAGAAATACACTCCAGCTGAATGAGAAAATACATATTCTGAGAGTGTTTATAGATCCAGCACTGCCACTTGAAGCTTCATGCTGCCTTTTATCATGTTTAGCTGATATACCAACTATCTGGAGAGAAACAGCCTAGCTACATGCATTGGTAGCCTCAACTAGATTACTGCAATGTGTTACAAGCAAGACTATCCTGGGGATGATCCAAAAATGTCAGTACAGAACAAAGCAGCAAGTTGTTCACTGTGACTGGCCATTTCAAACATGTTATTGCAGTGCTTCATCAACTGTAGCGGTTCCTAGTCAGTTTTTGAGCTCAATTCAAAGTGCTAATGCTGACCTTTTAAGCAATAATACATCAATTTTATGATCCCTAGCATCTAGAGAGCTAGAACAACATTTGGATTCCTAGAAAAGTTGAGGGAGATCGAGAAGAGAGAAGACTGGGCTTCCCAAGATACAACAAATTCCTCCTCCTCACCTGAAGCATCTCAAATAGTGGAAATCAGCTGTCTCACTGATTTGCAGGGTGAGAAGGGCATGAAGATCAACTCAGCACTCCTCCTACACTGACTAGAGGGCCTGTAATTTTACAAGTTGCTTAAAGTCATCCCCACGGGATTGCACCCTCAATGACTTAAGGCCCCTCTATATGAAGGAAGACCTTTTCTAATAAATTCCTGCCCAATCTTTAGAATCTATTCTCTAGGTACCACCACTTGCAATAGTGTGATGAATGGCTACCAAGGACAGAACCTTCTCTGTAGCAGCTCCATGTCTGTAGAATGCCTTTTTAGGGAAATTCAAGAAATATGTTTCTATTTGCATTGTTTATCATTTTTATTGTTCTTTTACTGTTGGGGGCGTGTTAGAAAGAAATCAAACTAATGACATCTGTCAGTTGGGTAAAAATGTAAATATACTACCAGCAGTATTTCTCAAACATTCTGAACATTTAGTCTTCAAGTATGTAATACTGCTTGCATTCTTCATGATCAGACAAAGTGTCAACCCTTCATTTCGCAATTATTCCTAAATCTAAGCAGATATATATCCTAAGCATATAAATATCATAACAGAGTCTCTGAGCAGGTTCTAATGCAGTGTGAAGCAGTGATTAAAGTGTTGGACTGGGATTCAAGAAATCCAAGTTGTAGTTTCCACATAGCCATAAAGCTCACTGGGTGACTTTGGGCCATTTACGGTCTCCCAGCTTAATCTGCTTCATAAGGTTGCTGTTGCGAGGATAACATGGAGAAGAGAACCATGTATGCTGCCCTGAGTTCCTTACAAGAGGAAGAACAGTGAAATATAAATGTCATGTAGCAATAATGTTGAAAGCTGTAGAACATTTTTTGGCCAAACATACAACAGGATTGCACCATCATCTGGAGTTATTCACATATTATTCTGCCTAGAGACTGACGTTTGGGAAGGCAGACAACTTCTCCTAAGGTGCTACTTTAAGCAGTCATTAAAAACTAATCACACAACTGAAAATATCTTACTACCAAAAGGGTAAATTAGCACAACAGTTTAAAACTGAGGTAGCCTCTAAGCCACACCAGGCTTAAATTCAACTTAAGCCCCTGCTGTGCTGGGCACAGCAAGGGTCCTGAGGTACCTCCTCCCATCTCTCTCCAACTCAGTTCTCCCGTCAGTCCCCAGTGAGCAATGCAGAATTATTATGGAGAGCAAAGAGGGTGACAGTTGCCTAAAAATGTCCAAGCTGCACTTGGGGGCAACTATCAGAGGTTCCTTGCTGATGATCCCAGTGGTAAGGAGCTGCTCAACCCCCCACCCCCCGCCACCAGAACAAGCAACAACAGAGGCAAACTTCATTCAGCTCAGCCTCCTCTCAAGTTCAAGCCAAATGTAATCCTCACCCCAACTGAAATCACAGCTCAGAGGTGGGGAAGAAGCACACTGTGCTCAGCTTCCTCTAAGCAGGCCAAATATGCCACTGATATCTGCCACACACAAGTCCCTCCAGCCACCAGTGGTTTGTGCAGATAGATCCCAACAATGCTATCCAGCCCAACCCGCCATGGCAGCTGCCATGCTAAGCAAACAAAGTGCAAGGTATCTTGTATTCTACCGCAGTGGAACACAATGCAGTCAATTCTTCCAATGCTTATGGCAATGGCCATCAGTGTAGTCACTGATGTGCATACTCTCCTGAGCATCTGTGTTCAGGAGAACACCCCCCCCCCCAACCCCAATGTCAGCCACCATCATGGCAGGGTAGTTGCAGCAGTGGGCACGGGATGCATTTGATGAGGCCTCCTCCAGGAGAGAGCCAGCAGAGTATGCTGCCACCACAGACCAACTCCACATGCCCTAAGAGGGCTTAGGCATGCAGCATGCAGCAGTGGGGAAGCAAATAAGAGCTGTCTGAAGTGCTACCTGGGCAATTTGGCCAGCAGCCATTGGACCCACTTGCCCAGAGTGCCAAGTGGCTCTTTCCACTTGCTCTTTCCAAGCAGCTCTGTAGGCTTCAAGGCTCCATGTAGGTGTGTTATGTCATCAGAGCTTGGATGGCACAGCAAGCCCAGCATGGCCATAAAATCCTTCAACAGGCCATGGCTTTCTAGGGAGGTTGTGTCACCCTACTTGGGATGAGTGCAAGTTTGGACAACATACTAAACTACTGGTTTTGAAGCCACACTTTGAAGTCCCATTGAACCCAGCATAAAGCATAATAAAAAGGTTTGACTAAAATACTGAGTTCATACCATATAATGAAGTCTGCCTCAAAAAACTAACTTGAGAAAAAGTATCTAGTGAATGATTATCATTAAAGAACAGGATTTACATTAGTGTTTGCTATGCAGTAAACAATCACTATTAAGTTAAATAGTTTATTACCTACCTTTCTTCACATCTAGGCCAATGTATACACAAATATAATATTTGTATTAAAATTCCAACCAGGATTCCTACCAGAAAGAATTCTTGCTTTCTCTAGCTTTTAAACAACCCCTATTGCCTTTATGTATACTCTTAGCATATAAAATTATTATTATACACTAAAGTTCTAGACGCCCCAATGCTTACTTTAAAAACAATTCATTATACAATGAAGAGTACTGTGGCACCTTACAGACTAAAAAAAATATGGCATACGTTTTCATGAACTAGAATCCCCTTATGCCATATTTTATTGTTTTATTGACTTTTTTTTGAGTATTGGTTTAATCTTGTAAGCTGTCCTGAGACGCGATAGTGAAGGACGGCATATAAATGTTTTAAATAAATAAATAAATATGCCATAACAAATTTATTAGTCTTTAAGATGCAAATAAAAATAAAAATGAAAAATAAATAATTTCAGCTGCAATTCTATACCTCTTCACCTATCACTATGTTTCATTGAACTCAATGGGAGTTACCTCTGAGCACAGATACAGGATGGTAATGTTAGTGACCCAAAATCCAACAGTAAATGCTAGATTACAGTTTATATAGACTAAGCACATGTATTTACTCATAACAAATGTCAAATAGCTTGTGTATGTGTGACTAATGTATTTTTCTCAACAGATTCATCACCTTTTAAAAGAACCTGGCTCATACCTCATTCCTGTACAGCAGCAACCTAGCTATGTGCTTCTTAATCTATCTGCTTAATGACATGTTTATTAAAATTAGGTGCTTTAATAATTCCACAGTGTTAACATCACAGTTTTTCCTGTGGCATTATTCATTTGTGAATCATTTCTAAAAAGTCCAACTTCTAAAAATTATCAAGACATTACTCCCTGACATGCACATGAGAGTCATATTCACACACACACACAAATACTTTATTGCTAGGGAACTGTAGTTTCAGAAAACATTCAAGTTAAAATAGCCTTCTAAGTAGAGTTTATCTCCACAAAAATAACATTTCAATAGCTCACTTAAATCATAGAATAAATCAACAACTCTCAATAAAACCTATAAAAATGGACATCCAAGATTTAAAAAAACTTCAGGAACAAAGAGTCAATGCTTTAGAGTATGCTTTATATAGTACTTAGTGCATAGTCATGGCCTAATATAAGTGCATTTACAAAATTAGCTACATGCATATCCAAGTATCTGGTTTCACAAGGCGTATGAGAATAAGACACCAACATCTCTGGCCAAGAGAACTCAACATTTAGCCTATAAAACATGCATAAAATGCCTGTCCGAACTTAAAAGGCTATATGGGGGAAATTTAAATATCTCAGTATATTTGCCTTCTTGAAAAGAACATTACAGGTCACTTGTTATAAGGACAAGTATTCCTCAATAATGCTGCTATAAACTCTGAATCGAGAAACAAGTTGTACCATACTTACCTGAGTTATTGAAAATAAAAGCAAAATCGTAGAAGGCAGCATACTTTTGACTTTACAAAGTTCATGTCCAAATATCTAAGTTTCTTATCAAGAAAACAACAAAAACCAAGATGCCAGATAGTGAAACATTAGTATTTCACAGCAGCTCTTCTCATACTGAACAAAACATACCACAACATGGAAGAAAAAGGCTAAAACCGAAGCACCAGCATTTTCCTTTAGAGAATCCAAATCAAGGACTAAGCTATTATTGTTAAATTCAACATTAACTTCCAGCCCTTTAGTTTTGAATTGCTGCCAGTATCAAGTGATCAGGCGACGTACCATTTTAAGTTAGCGTTCTCCCCCTGACATGGAAACAGACATTACTTTCCCCAGACTACAGTTGCAAATTACCTCCGAGTCCCAAAGGGAAGCAATAATCCCCTGTAACAAGAGTAGTCGGCGACCACGCCTTCCCGCTGCCCTAGCAAGCTGCAAGCCGAGCAGTCGTGTCACATTTCTTCTTTCATACGCAGGGATCCTAAAGGTTAGTTTTACACAAGCCGAACAGGCTCATTTAGCAAAAGCGCAAGGGGGAGGGGAGAGAAACAGACGGACAGACGCACACACAAACTGCAGATTTCTGGTTGCTAGAGGAAAAAGAGCGGCACACAAAGCGAGAATAGAAGCAATACGTGAAATGGGGCTGAACTATTTATATACTAATCGGTTTGCTCGCAGGTTTGACGGCGGCAGGAAGGCTCGCTATCTACGTAATTCAACTTTTTAAATGGATACAGTGACAGAGGGGAAATGGTCGAAAATGAAGTTCATCCTAGCCATAGAAATAACAGACCATAAAGGTGTTGATTATATTAGATGGAGAGAGAAAATGTGTTAGAGTTAAGACCAAGATCTAACAAAGGCTGATTTCTAGGAAGAAACGCATCAGAGCTCAAGCCTACCTTGAAAATCATGTCATGCCCTCTTACCTCGCAACTTCTCTTCCTAGTCCCGAAGGGACGGAGATTGGCTGTAGCTATTCAACGTAGAATTTTAAAAGTACTCTGCACATGCTCGCAAATAGTCTATGATCTCACACGGCTCACATCTTGGAATCAACATGAGGATCCTGCCCGTAACCCCAGTGACGATTAGGACCTGGGAAAGGCTGCAATCTCATGCACACTTCTTTACAAGTAAGTCCCGTAAGGGATTTACTTCAGAGTAAATATGCCTACGGTCAGGTTCTCCCGTCCGCTTCTGGAAAAACAAACAAAACCCTATTCCCAGAAAGGCGCCAGCTGACGACAGACGGTCACACACCCTGCTCTACTGCACTTCCCAGCCCTCTACGAAAGATTTTCCTTTCAGTTCCTCGTCGAAGGAAAGCGGGAAAGAAATAACATCCGCTGGAGGGGCCGTAGAGTTTGGAGCTGGAGAAGCCTTAAGCAAAAACAAAAAAACCCCGTTGGGCTCTTTCAGCCCCTGAATTTTGCTCCCAACAACTCCCAAAACACGGGTGGGGGAGGCGGGCCGGAGTCGCCGTGCCCGCACCTCAGGAGGCAAGAGGAAAGGCGAGGAGGGTCGGTCATTCCGTTCGTCCCGCTCTTCCTCCCAGTCTCTCACCTTCACAGATCGGGCAGCGCTACGGTCCCCGCCGCCTTCGCCGCCGCAGCCCTCGGCATATCCAGAGAGCTACTACAAGGAGGCGCTTCCTAGGCCGGGCTCAGCCTCTGGGTGCTGTTGCTTCTGGTGCTGCTGCCGCCGCTTCCTCGGCCGCTGCCATCTTGTCCTGGCGGCTGAGAGGATCGCGCCCCAGCTCAGCCCGCTCAGCTCCCCGGGCCTCCGCCTCATCTTCCCGGGGAGGGACCCAGCCTGCCGCCGCCGCCGCCGCTCTTGCCGCCACTTCCTTCGCCGCCGCCCACTTCGGCGGCTGTTCCCGCTTCTCTGGTGGCGGGGCCTGGAGCAGCGAGCGCAGCTGCCTCCGTCGTAGTCCTGCCGCCGCCCACCTCACTCCGGTGGCTGTGAAGAAGCCTCAGCCCCGCTCCGACATGTCCCCGTTCCGCTTCCAGCCTGAGGGGCCCTCCTGACGAGGAGAGGAGAGCCTACCAGCCCTCTTCCGCAGCTGCAGCGCCCTCGGCTGGTTCCTGCCTGCCTCCTGGCTGAAATTGGAGCGCTAAACCCGCCTCCTTCTCCTCTGATCTGTTCTGTCTCCCGTCTCACTTGTATGGCCCAGCTTGGCGCTCTCACTTCCAGAACACCATCGCTCCAGGCAAAAATGAATGCCAAACTGGGTAAAAGGAGCGACAGACAGAGAGAGGGCTGTTCTTGTCAGAGCACTGGGCCTTTTCAGAGAGGACAAGCAAGTCCTGCTAAGTAAGAGGGCCTTGCTTCCATATAAGTGTACCTAGCATTGCAGCCAGAGGCAATGCCACTTTCAAAAGCATATTCTAGCCGAACTAGGATTCTAGGTCTGTAACGCAAACTCAGAGCCTACAGTGGCCAGAACATGCATCTGCAAATGGTTCTGTTGGGCATCAGGGACGCGTGACACACTTGTGGCTGAAAGCAGTAACCCCATAACTGGTTGTAGGAATTGCCACATCCAATAGTACCAAAACGGAAGCTAAAGCTCTGTTCAGTTATTCTGTTAGCTTACAAACCAAAAAAGCTATCTTACCTTCTGTGCCTTTCACAGAATAAGCAAAGATAAGCCTGTGAGCAGATGTATATGTCCCTCTTCATCCATTTTGAGTCTATGCGCTGCTCCTGTAAAAGTTAATAGCACAAGGTTTACATTAATTACTGTGTATATTCTTGAGCTAGTCCCAGGCATTTGTGTGCTATAAACGAGAATTAGATGCTCCATTGCTCATGGTGCATTCATCCTTCCACTCTGGAATTTATGTTCAATCTCACTTGCTTTCTTCAACAGCTGGTCCAGTCAGCTTCTATACAGTCAATGGAAAAGGTAGCAAAATGTCTTGGGTCATCTCTGTCTGGATCCCATGCTACCTACTCCCATTCCCTTCCACATCCCTCAGAGATCTACACCTTTTCAATCTTCTTTTCCAGACAAACTTCTATGCCCTCAACCAGTGCTAGCCCAATATATGGTAAATATTTCATGCCACTCTTCCTCTCCCTCTGGTTATGTTCCCAAGGCAATTTTCAAAAGCATAAAATCAAGGAAATGAAACTGCAAAAAAGTACACAAAGCTGAAAGTCCCAAAATCAGAAAAACAGACAAAACAGCAATATTGAGACTACATCTTTGCTCCATATAATAAAAGCCTTTGCCAAAGACAAAAAGGTTAAATAGGTCCAACAGAAACCTCTCTAGCAGGAACATCCCACAACTGCCTGAAGCAGAAGGAAATGGCTCTCTCCATACCCCCAAGGTGCCACCCAAAGCAAATTGCTTCAAGCTGTGTCATGGCAAGGCTGGCCTTGCCTACAACAGCTTCTTGACAGGCTAAATTTCAGCAGGAATAGAGGGTGTGATGGGTGTGATGAATGAGAACTTCAACAGTGATGTTAAAGGTATTTTATAAAGGTGCAATCCTATGCATGTTTATACAGAGAATGCAGTACAATTCCCAGCACTGAGAGTTATAGGACTTTTTCTGTCTAAACATACATAGGACTGTGGCCTAAACAGCTTACTAGAAAAATTGGTGATAGGCTTCACTATTCCTTGAGTTTCCTTCCCTCTTAGCCAGCTGTTTGCCATTCCAGACAAAAGTTCTACCTAAGGGGTGGAATCTTTCTCTATATAACAAAGGCCTTTTGCACATGAAAGCTGCTAAAATAGGAAGCATGCAGAAATAGTATCAGGAGTAGTCTCTCCTGTGTCCTAGTTTTCAACAGTTTCTACTTATACAAGCTGAGGTCTGTGATTTTTTGGAGAAATCCCTGTTTTGGACCCTTTCTACTTAACTAACTACTTAACTAACTACACTCCTTGCATAGCCCTCTCACTTTAATCATTTTATTTTTATTTATTTATTATTTTTTCGATTTATATCCTGCCTTTTTCCTACAAAGGCTTCAAGGCAGCTTACATCTCCTTCTCCATCTTATCCCCACAACAACAACCCTGTGAGGTAGGTTGGGCTGAGAGTCTGTGACTGGCCCAAAGTCACCCAGTTGGCTCCATGGCTGAGTGGGGACTAGAACCCAGATCGTCTGAGTCCCAGTCCCATGCTCTTAACCACTATACCACACTGGCTCTCCAATATGTAAGGATATTTTATGCAATATCCTTACATTCTGAAGCCTTGTTCACATGATATTTCTTGCTTTCTGCTCTGATGTGAATGACTGTGTCATAATTCCTGAAAGCACTAGACTTTCTGAGAAATTGGATGGCTTTTCTCTCACTATAGCAATGTCAATAGCTGCAGCCTTTTAAACAAATCTGAGGATCATTGATTTCAGAAAATTATTAGCCTTCGTCATCACTTATTACTATTACTATTATTTCTATACAGCTTCTCATTTGCATAAATATTATAGGCTTACAAAGTAATACAAAAAACACAATAGTCATTCAAAGACAGGTCATGTTGGGAGGGGGGGGGGGAGTAAAAAATACACCTTTAAAATAAATGCCTGAAACATACCAGCATGGAGACCTGCAGTATCACTCCATAGAATGAGCACCACCATAGAGAAGTGAGTGGATACTATCCATTTACTTTTCTGCATCTTTTCAATACATCATTATGTATTGAAAAGAAGAGCCTCTGATCTGCATTAACTCTAACAACTAATACACAGGACTCACCAAAAGCCTTCTGCCAATACCTGGAGACAATTTGCTGTTCTTCCTGTCTACTTATAAATAGCAGCCACAGTATACTTTCCAGAAGAGGAGAGTGAGGTAGCTGACAGACGCAGAGAAAAGAGAAAGAGGAAAGAATATGTGTACATGTGTGCATGCATGTGCGTGCAAAGAGAGAACATGCATGCACATAGGCAAAGCTAAGTTTTGCTATCTACAGCATTCTCTTAAACAGCATGGGGTTCTACTTTAAAGGGTCTTTTAGGAAGCTCCTTGCTGTTTAAAGCAAGGAGATGAAAAGTTGTCTTGCTCTGATAAAACAAGGTTACACTTTTCTGGAACCAAGCTGAGGAACCTAAAGCCACATTTGTTATTGTACTGTGTACACCCTGTGCAGTATAGCGCTTCCCACTGGTACATTGCATCAACCTGTTTTTATTACCCATAAACCACTTCCTACCACTACCACCTCTTCTTCCAAAGCATGTATGCAGTTTCACTCAATGAGCCTTGTTCCTGCCAAGTTGTTGCCCAATAGGAATTTATATAAGTCTGCAGTCCAGTAAACAATTCAACCATTTAAAAAAAATTCATATAGCATTAAACATTTCTGAAAGTAGCTCTTTAGAAAATCCTTTAAAGGCTTCTTTGTTATTCCTGTTCAGTTAAAACATAGCCTACTGTAACTAGTTTGCCAAATGATTATGACCTCTTATTTTCTAAAGAAAGCTAATGAGTAACCATGTGCATGTGTGTACATTTATGGGCTGGCAGGAAGCTTGGAAAATGTCCACCAAGTCAGAAAATAGCTCCTGAGGTGTTTTTTCATCCATTAGAAATGAAAACAACAACCCACTGAAAGCCATTTATGCTTCTTTGTTTTTGAAACAAGAATTATGGAATGAACACACAGCTTCCAACTGTAGCATTTACTGGGCTTGGCTTACAAGAAAAGTCAAGGCCCCTGAATTAACATTTTTAAAAACTGGTATAACAAGTTTCTTTTCAGGCATGCGAACAACCTAAGTAGTTGGATGTGATATCACCCCCAGCCTATCCTCAGTGCTTAAGCTGTTGTCATCCTATCCACTTTTGGAAAATGTTTAGGATTTACAAATACCATTGTCACCTATC